AGACCAGGGGCCCGCCGCGCGCTGGATAACGATCCGGCGGCCGGCAACTTGCTGGGCCCCCCCAGAGCCTGAGGCCCCGGTGCGCCCACACCGGCGGTAGTTCCGCCACTGATGCACAGAGACCATGGGGAAGAAAAGTAGCCACCCTCCAGAAGGACAGTGTCAGCACCAATTCAGAGATGATTTGAGGATCTACAGCTGAGTAATACACAAATAAGGTACATGTTTGTTAATAGTTAAGTTACTCGAATGCATTTTAAAGATTTAGCTCCTGAGTTTAGTGCCACTTTGAAATATCTCATAATGTGGGCTTTTTGGAGTTAAGATGCCTCTCCTAAAACTCACATTATACAAATTGAAATCAGCCATTCAAAAGTATCAATTTAATTGCACATTTTCCTTTTAAAATTTCCAAAGTATTTACTATTATGTCCACGTGTATAGCTGTACAAGAAGGTATCATACAATCGAACAAAACATTAAAGTATTGTATATTTTCAGTGAACTCATATTTTAGTTTATTACAGTGGTTATCTTAAAGTAATTTTTATATGACTTCACATAGACTGGTCGGAGCTTACAGATAGGCTATGGTAACTCAGATAACCACTCTGTACCAGTGGCTTAACAATCACCATAGCGACCCAGGCGGCCGCTATGGGGCCTGGCCAGGACATCCCCCTGATGGCGTGCGGGTCGCCTGGGTCGCTATGGCAACTCAGGCTGCTGGATGTCACTGGGGGCTGTGAGGAGGAATGCGCCGCTATTCACATGTGCAGCGGCACGTTCCTCCTCACAGCCGCTGCTGAGTCAGTGACAACCAGCAGCTTCAGAGGATTTGGCTGGGCCCGTCGTTGGCAGCGATGGAGAAGGCCGGTCCCAGCGATCGAGGAGGGGCTTAGTGATGGGGGAGGTGGGGCCTGGCGATCAAGGAAATGGGGCCCAGTGACGGAGGAGTCGGGGCCCGCAAGCGATCGTGGAGGAGAAGGAGGCAGACAGAGGATCTGAGCAGACAGGTAAGAGGGCTTGACCGCCCACCTTAGACCCTGCAGAGCCCGCCATAGAGAGTCTATGGCGGGCTCTGCAGGCTCACCCTCAGGTGGGCTGTTTGGGTTATCAGGTGGGCTTAACTAGAAATCACAGGGTCCCATACAAAATTTTGCTATGGAGCCCTGTGATTTCTAGTTACGCCCCTGTTCTGTACAACTGTGTTAAGCTGACGAACATCTCAAAATGCACAACATGTTGGACCTTGACGCTGTTGGGCTACAAAAGCAGGAGACCATGTCAGGTTCTACTCTTTTCACCCAAGAACATAAAGCTGAAGCTGCCGTGGGCACAGGCTCATCAAAACTGGGTAGTTGAAGGCTGGAAAATGTAGCTTGATCTAATGAATCTGGATGTGTTAGGCACACACAGAAGGTTATTATATATAAATCCAATACTTTTAAGATGTCCTAGAATGGGAGATGTGCAGCATGAATCCGCAGAATTTGTGTGATGCAATCATGTCAGTATGGACCAGAATCTTAAAGAAATGTTTGTGGGATGTGAAATCCATGCCAGAAATGATTGAGGCTCATGGTTTTGAAGGCAAAAGGGCGATGCTTTAATAAATTGTTAGGAGAGTGCGTATATATATATATATAACTCAGTGTATTTAGCTGTTTGCCTGAATATTAGCTTAATTTGTAATGTTTGGTATTGTTCCATTTAATTGCAAAACTGTACATAATGGTAAAGAATATTCCCTTACCGCCCCAAGCAAACACTGAGATTCACGGGCCGCTCCACAACAGCCAAAGGAGCCAATCAGCATCATCAATGCACCGGCTCCTACCAGCACATAGAGTCCTGTGGGATAGAACAAAATATAAATGAATCATATGTTATTCGAACAAAATCTAAGAAATACAAATAATAGAAAAAGGAAATTGAATAAAGAAGAAGGAAACAAACCAACATTTTAATGTTCCCTCCCCTTTCCTTCCCATGACTCTGCATCCATGCATACATTGTATCATAAATCAGAGTGTAAATCCCTTTTTTTAGGGGTTTTTCCATGTGGTAATGTGACTGCACATCTCCAATTTTTTATTCCGGATGCAGCTGATGCCCCGGCTCAGAGAAGACTCTTTCCCCTGCCGACAATGACTAGAGCTGTGGACACAGGCGGGTGATGCACTATGGAGTTCATCCCTCGTTTTTTTTTCCCATCGACGTCAATGGAAGCGATAGGAAACATGCGACAGAAGCATATCGCACATTTTTGCGTGCGTTTTTGTCCATTGACCAAATGTCTCTGCCAGTGAAAAGGCATGTCTTCATGTGCGTGTGTTTATCGCGCGCAAAAATGTGCAAATTGAGCAAAAATGTGCAAAGCTAGCAGAAAACGTGCGTAGAAACACGCAAAAAACGATGACGTGTTGGTGCAAACGAGACTCCCTAATGGACCTTTGTTGTGATAGGCTGCCTCACTGACTAATAGGTAGGCTCAGGAGAGGAGTGACTTATATCATCAGCGGCTATATCCCTGGATCATTTTGACGTGCCGTTTCACTAATGGTAATAATGGTATCAGTCATGTCCCCCCTTTCCTCGAGGTTGTACATATGAAGTTCCTGCAGTCTTTACTGATGTATTTTGACTCTCAGGCCTTGCACCATTTTTTTTTGCCCATCTCTGGATTCTCTCTTTCTTATTAACAGGGAAAATACAAGGTGTAAGGATGCTTTAACTAAGAAATATTTGGTTCCACCTGGAAGGAAAGATGAACTGTTTCTATGCTAGTGAAACTGGTAAAGGGCAAATAAGATTTTGACAGATCAACACATCTAATAAGTTGGAGCACAAATGTGGAAGCAACAAAGCATGCGCACAGTCTTTAAGCATCTCCTGCAGCATGTCTCATCATAGCTTGTAGCATGCCTGCCAGTCCCTAACCATCTCTTGTAGCATGCCTATCAATCTCTGACCATCTCCTGCCACATGTCTACAGTGTCTAACTGTCTCTTGTAGCATCCTTGTAGTCACTGGCCAACTCCTGCAGCACAGTGGCTTAGTGGCTAGAGGTTCTGCCTTACAGCGCTCGGGGTCCCTGGTTTGAATCCTGATCAGGACACTATCTGCGTAGAGTTTGTATGTTCTCCCCTTGCTTTTGAAGGCTTCCTCTGGCAGTTTCCTCCCACACCCCAAAAACATGCTGCAAGGTTAATTGGGTTCTGTCTAAATAGGCCCAGTGTGCGATTGGGACCTTAGATTGTAAGCTCCTTAAAGGGCAGGGACTGATGTGAATATGCATTATGTAAAGTGCTGGGCAAATTATCAGCGCTATATAGATACCTGTAATAAATATATGTCTACAGTCTCTAACCATCTCTTGAAGGATGTCTGTAGTCTCTAGCCATCTCCTGCAGCACATCTACAGTATTTAACCATCTCTTGTAGCATGCCTGCAGTTTCTGACCATATCCTGTTGCATGTCTGCAGTCTCTGATAGGGATGTCCAGATACCAGATCAGATACCAGTGCCGATACTTGGTATTTTCACGAGAACTACCAGGGTTGCGGCAGTTGCAGCTGTCACCTGACTCTGGCGCTCCACCACTGTCCTGAAATCATTAGTCTGTATTGTTTTAGAAAAACTGTCACAATAAACAAAAATTTATCCATACTTGTGCTTGTAAGTACTTGGGCAAGTATCAGTACTTGTACTTGGAAAAATGGTATCGGTGCATCACTTATATATATATATATATATATATTTATGATAAAATAAATAATGTAATAAAACCAGACATGTACAAATCCCAGAAGCTCCGTATGCTCCTTACAAATGACAGCTGCTTCCTAACTTAACATGCTGCAAGGTTAATTGGGTTCTGTCTAAATAGGCCCAGTGTGCGATTGGGACCTTAGATTGTAAGCTCCTTAAAGGGCAGGGACTGATGTGAATATGCATTATGTAAAGTGCTGGGCAAATTATCAGCGCTATATAGATACCTGTAATAAATATATGTCTACAGTCTCTAACCATCTCTTGAAGGATGTCTGTAGTCTCTAGCCATCTCCTGCAGCACATCTACAGTATTTAACCATCTCTTGTAGCATGCCTGCAGTTTCTGACCATATCCTGTTGCATGTCTGCAGTCTCTGATAGGGATGTCCAGATACCAGATCAGATACCAGTGCCGATACTTGGTATTTTCACGAGAACTACCAGGGTTGCGGCAGTTGCAGCTGTCACCTGACTCTGGCGCTCCACCACTGTCCTGAAATCATTAGTCTGTATTGTTTTAGAAAAACTGTCACAATAAACAAAAATTTATCCATACTTGTGCTTGTAAGTACTTGGGCAAGTATCAGTACTTGTACTTGGAAAAATGGTATCGGTGCATCACTTATATATATATATATATATATATTTATGATAAAATAAATAATGTAATAAAACCAGACATGTACAAATCCCAGAAGCTCCGTATGCTCCTTACAAATGACAGCTGCTTCCTAACTTTAGAATTTGTCTCTAGTCTAGTCCTGGAGCTGGAAAAGTATCTGTACTTGTACTTGAACTGAGTATGGCACTTGGTATCTGAACATCCCTAGTCTCAGAGCATTTAATTTACTGAATATTAAGGACAGTCTTTTGGTGATGTCAGGGGCCATACCTGAGCTACTGAAATGAAGCTTCCAGAAGAAGATATATCCCTCAATGCAAAGCGAGACTCATGGGACTAATTACGATGTGCCCACATCGCTTGGTGGGATAAATGGGAAGTGCTTATGCCGTGCCAAAGTAACTTTGCAGTTAATGTTTTGCAAATAAGCTTCCTCATAGCAGACACATTGACTAAATTAGATTGGAATTCATTACTTTTCTAAATATTTTCCACAGAAGTATAGATTATGGTTTGTTCCCATTTTGGATGAAGATAATGATCAGAGGAATCATTTGCTCTAATCTTACAAATGACTCACATAGCTGTAGTGAACTGACATTTGTCATTAGAAAATGGTAATTAGTGAGGTAGACAGCAGTCTAAGACAGCATGGCACTGCAAAATTAGACAGAATAAAATCTATCTGTTCAGTAGTAACATGCAATGTAATTTGGGCGACAGCTGTATGTGAAATGTTACCACAGGACAGACTGGAAACTGGAAGGAGATCTATCCCTGGGGAAGTCCCAGGATTCATTGCTATGTTCACACCCACCTTCTGCCAATTTGTGTCTGAGGACCATTCTATTTTTTCCATCGGTGGCTCATGCATATATTTACAGCTACGGTGTCTGGGCCTGCACCACTACTGTATCAGTTTTCAGACACATAAAATCTTCTATCAAACTGAAAGATTTTTCTGCATTTGTCAGAAATCTGAATAAATCCCCAACCAGCTGAATAGGAAAATACCAAAAAAAGTCAAAAATGCTTTGAAAAAAAAAAAAGTTTAACTCACTGCCAAGGCCTTTTGTGCGTTTTTTTGCAGACATGTTATAATCCATATTTTAGGCCTGAAAATTACTTAAAAGGCCCAAACATTATATATTCACTGAAAGCAAAGATCCTATAGACTAAAATGGGGACAGTTGTACATTTTTGTGTTGCATGATATTAGCACAACTCTTTATCGAACCCAATTATGTTGTAAAAAATTTACTTAAGTTAATTTTAGTGCACAAAAACACAAACTAATACCCTTTTAAAAAATATATATATATATAATAGATGAGGTTACGATGAGTAAAGAGATACCCAACATGTAAAAAATTGCGTGCGTCCGCGAAAGGGCAGCAAAAAACGGCTTCCCAAATTGTCCATGGGTGATGTTTTTAAAGCCTGTACAGGTCATCAGGTTAGAAATATCCATGAATATTTGCCCCAGAATTATTGCTCTTGCTCTGGCACATGCGGTAATATTTAACATGGATAGCACTATTGTTTTCGTACGTAGGCACACCCAACGCATGTTTCCGATAATACGCGCATGCTCGGGGGGGTGGGGGACTTTAAAAAAAAAAGTGTTTTATCTTTACATTTCATTTATTTGAATGAGAACTATGGAGTGAGTGATTTACACTAATCCTCATAGTTAGAGCCGACCTGTGACATTGAAACTGTCACAAGTTGACTCTAGATCAGGAAATGAGTGAACACATTCCGTCGCTCACTCACTTCCCGATCATCTCCCTCCAGAGAGCGGTGACACCCGACAAGCTGGTCCCAGGCTCGCAGAAGGGGCAGCAGAGCCCAGGAAGCAAGGCAGGGGTGTCGGACAGGGGGAGGGGGCACGCTTCAGCGGCCTGTGGAAGTGATATGGCGGCAGCTTAGCCACCAGAATTGCTTACAGTGTAAAGCCGACAGTGGGCTTTACATATGTAAACAGAGTATGCAGCAGAATGGTTAAACATCTACTTTGCGGGACTATTAAAGCTGAATTCCAGCCTCTACCTGCAGTCTTGCACAGTTGTACATGCTCCTATCTTGTACTAAATTTGCCTACTCTCATTTAACTGCACACTGTTAGTTTCTCTCCCCAGGGAAGCTCACAAAGCTCTTTCCTCACCGGCATTACTTTCCCTGCCCCACCCTTTCATTCATTGTATTTCAGTTCTTTCAATCATGGGGTCTTAGTACCACATGAGGGCAGCTTGCCTAGGAATGGCCACTTTTCCAGACTGACGTCAAGGCATTTAGAATTTTGCATAATTCCTCCCAAGATGCAGCCCACTGCTTGCATCAGGTCTGAGGATTCTTGAGAGGAGCGCTGAAGCAGGGTGTTCTGATGTTTTCAGGAACATGGCAATAATCAGTTAGGGGGATGGGAGGTGGGTTAGTTTTATCCTGGACATA